AAAAAAAAAAAAAAAAAAAATCATTACATATAAGAAAGCTTAATTTAGAACAAAATTAAAAAAATAGACGAACCATCACAAAACAGGGCTAACATAATCGAAACGAACCGTTCAAATCATCCAACTACATGCAATTATGTACAACAATCCATTTGAGGCATTTTATCGAACACCTTCAATTCATAGTTTTCCAAACAAACTACAAAACTCTAATCAATTTCAAAATAACCCATCAAATTATCACACAAACATATCAAAAATTCATCAACATATGTCAATCATTACAAATTCACAAATTAAATATCAAAACAAATGAAAAATAGAAAAAAATTGTTAACCCTAACATCATGTTTTTGCTACAAACACATCATCTATATCTCAATTCATCCTTCAAATCGTGAAAATAGACGAAAAATGACAAGAAATGATACCTTGTTTGGTGAATTTGGTGTTGAATTCGGTTGAACGAGTAGTCCGCTCTCTCCCTTTTTTTTTTTCTTCTTGCTCTTGCTCTCTCTCTGCTCTCTGTATGTTCGAGTAGGAGAAGAAGAAATATTTTTTTTTATTTATATTTACAGGCAAAACATATTCTCAGAATACGTTTCATTTTGATTTATTTATGAAACGTATTCTGAGAATACGTTTCATAAAAACAAAAAAAATGGTTGAGGCTCCCAGATTGGGGACTCGAACCTGGGTCAATGGGTGAGTCCGATTTCTCTGGGCGCACCTCGAACCATTATGCCGGCAGATACTTTCCGATTATTTTTAAACAATTTATATACATATACATAAAATTATACAATACATTAAAAAAAATGTAATTTATACTATATTTTATATTATATTACCTACTATATGTTATATCATAGTAGATAATATAACATATGTTATATATATGTTATATAGTATAACATATGTTATATAATATAATATATGTTATTACATACTATATAGTATAACATAGTATGTTATATTATAACATATGTAATATTATAACAAATATAAACTACCCTATATTATAAACTACCCTATATTATAACATATGTAATATTATAACAAATATAACATATGTTATGTTATAACATATATGTTATTTTACTATATGTTACAACATAGATCATGTAAAGTATATCATATAATATAATATAGTAACATAGTAGTATATTACTATGATATGGGATATTATATACTGGACCGGTGGTCGAGCAGAACCGGACACCGACCACATAGAACGTCGAGTAGATAGCGGCGGTTAAGGGAATCGCAAGTGGTCGACAGATACGAGCCATCTGAAGATATGGTCGAGGAAAGACGATCGAGGAAGCCTGGACGCGCAAAACTGATAGAATACCGGAGCACTCGAGAATCCCCAGCACGTAAAGGAAAAGACACGCGGCAGGCTGTGATTGGTCAACGGCCGTAACGGACTCTGATATTCCCTGACAAAAGTGACGCGTTTCTGACACCGAAGATAGTGGAGGCGCACGATTGTACGGACGAGCAGAGGACAGTTGGCCGAACTCGCCTTACTCGCGCGTGCAGCTCAGGTAACTCGCCCTTATAAATAAGGGCGAGAATCCTCATTTTCCACACAATCTCACATACTCATACATCTTCGTATACATTAATCTCTCAAGATCTGACTTGAGCGTTGGAGGCTCTTCACCGGAAAACATCTCCGGTGTGGGAGTTTCGTGCAGGTTCCGCGTTCAACCGGCGAGGAAGGCAAGCTTAGGGCAATTTCCAGCCGGTCCGGGTGCGAGACTTGTATTATACTATATGTTATTATATTACTATGTTATATTATAACATCTATGTTATATAATAACATAGATGTTATAATATAACATTTACGTTATAATATAACATATGCTGCATAATATATCATATGTTATATAATATAAAATATGTTATATTATACCATATGTTTAGGGTTTAGGGTTAGGGTCTAGGGTTTAGGGTTTAGGGTTTAGTTTAGGGTTATATTATACCATATGTATGAAATTGACTTCAATTGTACGAAATTTACTTCAATTGTATGAAATTGACTTCAATTGTACTGAGTTGACTTCAATTGTACGAAATTGACTTCAATTGTACTGAGTTGACTTCAATTGTATGAAATTGACTTCAATTGTATGAAGTTGACTTCAATTGTATGAAGTTGACTTCAATTGTACGAAATTGATTTCAATTGTACGAAATTGACTTCAATTGTATGAAATTGACTTCAATTGTACTGAGTTGACTTCAATTGTACTGAGTTGATTTCAATTTATGTTTTTGCTTAATCTGCTTAGTTTCAACCACCAGTAGCAAAAGCATCTGGGAATAAAAGTTTCTGCCTTGTCAGGGTACTTCTCCCTGATGAAGCTCTCCAGACATTTGCGATAGGAGAAGTCTTCTTTGCCACCATCAACAGAAATTGACTTCAATTGTATGAAATTGACTTCAATTGTATGAAATTGACTTCAATTGTATGAAATTGACTTCAATTGTACTGAGTTGATTTCAATTTATGTTTTTGCTTAATCTGCTTAGTTTCAACCACCAGTAGCAAAAGCATCTGGGAATAAAAGTTTCTGCCTTGTCAGGGTACTTCTCCCTGATGAAGCTCTCCAGACATTTGCGATAGGAGAAGTCTTCTTTGCCACCATCAACAGAAACGACATAGAAACATCTGCTGTCCTGGAACTCTCCATGCCGACTAAATCGACTTCAATTGTATTAATTTGACTTCAATTGTATTAATTTGACTTCAATTGTAATAATTTGACTTCAATTGTACAAATTTGACTTCAATTGTACTAATTTGACTTCAATTGTACTAATTTGACTACAATTGTACAAATTCGACTTCAATTGTACTAATTTGACTTCAATTGTACAAATTTGACTTCAATTGTACTAATTTGACTTCAATTGTACAAATTCGACTTCAATTGTACTAATTTAACTTCAATTGTACAAATTCGACTTCAATTGTATTAATTGGACTTCAATTGTATTAATTTCACTTCAATTGTATTAATTTCACTTCGATTGTACTAATTTGACTTCAATTGTATTAATATGAGTTCAATTGTATTAATTTGACTTCAATTGTACTAATTCGACTTCAATTGTATTAATTTGACTTCAATCGTATTAATTTCACTTCGATTGTATTAATTTCACTTCGATTGTACTAATTTGACTTCAATTGTATTAATTTGAGTTCAATTGTATTAATTTGACTTCAATTGTACTAATTTGACTTAACTTGTATTAATTTGACTTCAATTGTACTAATTTGACTTCAATTGTACTAATTTGACTTCAATTGTACAAATTTGACTTCAATTGTACCAATTTGACTTCAATTGTACTAATTCGACTTCAATTGTACCAATTTGACTTTAATTGTATTAATTTGACTTCTTTTTTTTTTGAACAAAACGATAGGATACTCATTAAACAAGGATAAAAATTCAAATACACATTGTTCAAATCAAATACATCGCATGATATGGGAGACCTCACAGACGAGGCCTAAATGCAATAAAAAACAACTAAGCCAAAGGCAGGAAAGAGCTGAGGTCCTAGACTTAGCCAAAAAAGTAGATAAGAGAAAGGAGAGAAGTGAAACTGCATCCCTGCCTAGCACCTCTCTACATCCTCAGGTGGACCAATAATTAAGCATATTGGAATTCAGTCCAACCTCTGACAGCCTGCTTCAAGATACAAAGTTCAGAGAGTTGTTGTTTCTGAAAGATCCAAAGGTTGCGGCTTTTCCACAGCCACCATAGAATGTATGTTGACAATTGAATTTTGTCTTCATTTATGGCTCTATGGTTGGGGCTGCAGATGTTCCACCACCAGTCAGCAAAGGTAAGTGAAGGAGAGGGTAAAGACTCCCATTGGATTGGTGCTAATCTCCAGACCTTCTGAGCTTTACTGCATTGCAAAAGAATATGGTCTATGGTTTCAACATCTTCTCCACACACAGCACAAATAGGATCAACCTGGACACCTTTCTTAAGCAAATTAGTGGAAACAGGCAAAGCCTTTGAGAAGCATCTCCAGATGAAATGCTTAAGTTTTCCACTGACCTTGAGTCTCCAAGTTCTCTCCCTGACTTTAATGTCCCTAACACCAGAGTTGCTGCTTTCAGGGTAGTCCAGTAGCTGTAATTTGATGGAAGAGAGGTAAGAATAAGCTGAAGCTACTGTGAAAGATCCCTGCTTTGCTTTGTGCCATAGCCAACCATCAGATTTGTCAGGATTGAGGCTATTCAACTTCAAAATGGCAGCTACAACATCTCTATCAAACAAAGCATTTATCAGATCAGAGTTCCAATGTTTCCCATCAGTGGTTAGTTCATTAACAAAGGTGCATTCTGAATGTATTCCCTCCTTGAAAGAAATTTTCTTGTTATCAAGGGATTTAATCCATGTGTTGGTGTTATATACTTAAGCTTTGCTTTAGTGGATATTACACTTGTTAT